TAACAAAATACTGCTCTATGTAAATCTGTGTAAAGTTTCCTACTAGTAATTTGATATCTTTTTTTAGCATTTCCATTCGCCGAAGTGATCTTAACGCTTTATTTTTACTGATTTTGCAGGGCTCGAAGTCGAAATCAGTTTGCTATGTAGTGTGGAGCATTCCTCTTCCTCTTCTAATCCTTTTGCTATCAGCTTGTATTATCTTACTGTCATCATAGCCTTGTGGTTTTATCTCCTTTTTGTCAAATGCCACTTCACTGCAATTTTCTATTCTCTTTTTCTCACAATCGTCTTCTCATTTCAGACCCCTTAAAATTTCTTCTAGTAAAGCGCTTTGAGTATTTAATCAACACAAGCGTCTAAGAATATACCTTTGTTGGAAATCAGGCAATATCATCTGAAAATCTGTACTCATCCAAGTTTTCACCACTCAAACGTATCTCCTTAGTCTAGAGTGATTTTCTTTTGAGGATCATGTGGAAAGATGTTGAGTATGTAGAACTCTAGTTTGACAATTGTTCCAATTATTCACAACAGTAGCAGCAGTTTCCATGTTTTCGCCCTTTTTTTGCTGAGTGTTCTAGTCACTATCATAATCCGTTATTTTGAAGTGAATCATTGTAGAAATGCGAGGTCTAGTAGACTACGGCAGTGATAGCGGTAGTGAGGCAGAAGAAGACAACACGCCAAAGGATGACGATGATACGGTTAGTTCAGTATATGATTGTGTCAGGTAGTATCTCGGTGCTTTGACGCATGTTGTCGTGGATTTTGGAGTTTTTTTTTGTTTTGGAGTGTCCGAATCTGGAATTTCTAGAAAATTCGAAAGTTAGTCTGTAGCCTTTGATAGAGGGGAATAGTACCAACCAGTCATTTCCCCGTTGAAATGAGGGTGGTCCGTGAAGCGTATTCACCCCTGGAAGAATTGGTAATTGACCATCCGTACTTAGCATTCCTTAGGATCAAGAAGGCAGCCTCTCTGTTTTTCTTTAGTTTTTAAGCATAGATCCGGACCCCAAATAATGGATCTGTTTTGATGATTTCTGAATTTTGTGTTTCATAATATCTTTTCTAGACGAACTCGCTTCCAACACCACACCCACCACTTCCTAAGGTAGATGGACAGGCAGATTCATACTTTGATGCCGATGATGTTTTTGACGGTATTTACATTACAATATCTAATTGAGTTACAATGCCATCTTCTTATCATCTTCAGGGTCATCTTCTCTGAACTTACCATCCGTTATCGAAACTGGAGTGAGCTTAGCTGCCGAGGGAGAGTTAGAAGACATCGTCAAGCCAAAAGAATGGGAACTGAAAATGGCTGAGAAGGAGAAGCGTCGTAGAGAGAAGAAGGTGAGGTTCTCTACTGCGCGAAAGTATAATAAAAATCATGCTTGTAGGCAAAAAGGAAACAAAAGAAAGAGAAGAAGAAGGAAAAAGAGGACGAAAAAAGTGCAGTGGAGACACTGCCGGTTATCCATGGAAAGCCAAAAGGTATTGCTTGTAAGAAAATGCATTTCATAATTTTTGAAAGTTTTAGGCAAGGCAAAAATTGCCGCTTTCGGCGCTTTGAGCGCTATCGCTGACGGAGTCAGTAGCGACAGTGATGAAGAGCAGGTAAAGTTTACAGCTTCTCCGTTATCCTTTTTCTTTTTGTTCTTTTTTGAATTTTGAGAATGGCAGAAAGATTTTTTTATCTTCTACAGAAAAGTGAGTCCGTAAGCGCACAATCGAAGCCAAAAGGATCTGGTCTCTTGGCTATGCTACCAACTCCAAAAGGAAAATCAAGAATCAACCTTGGAAATGTGAGCGGTAAAGGAAATGGAGTCTTGCTACCACCGTCGTTAAGGAACAAGACGAAACCCACACCAGCTGTCAAGGTAAATTTAGAGGGCTAGCTTCTATCTTTTTCTCTTTTTTTT